GAATTGAAAAATCAAGTCTTCTCTTCAATCCATAGTGTGCAGGCTCGCCATCAGTCCAACGGAACTATTTTAAGCGAATGGAATGGTTGTTTATGATTGTCACTCTGCTATTGTGAATTTTCGGCTTTGAAACGCAATTCCACAAGGGCTTCAGATATGCTTGTAACTAATGCCTCATGTAATGAGTAGTCATTGTCCGGGCTAAGCAAGCCGCTCTCCAACGACGATGTTTTTTTTCATAGGCTATGGTTAAAATCTTTCACTCCTCTATGGATGGTTGGCAAAGCAGCTCGACAGTCTGGAGAGGCGTTTGGTAGTGCGATGACTAGCTCCTTTTAAGAGCAAAGATCATAGCACCAGCAAGTCTTAAGTGGTCGCTTGAGCTGTACTCACGTTTATGGTCAATGGTCTACTGACAAGGGACGTTTTCTAGGCTGTTCCAGATTGTAATAATGAGGAAACTATGATGACTTGTACTCTTTGCTAGATATTCTCACTCCTCTTTGAATTACTGACGTTACAAGACTTGACGTGATTATAAACCAATTGCATGTTTGTATTCGCACGCACATGCACATACGTATACGCATCTTTAGTGGACTCTGATGATGAAGGATGCGAACCCGACTCTTTTCATGATCCACTGAACTGCCGCCAACGAAAAGATGGGACTTTGGCGTGGCCAACGACCCATCTCCGAGGATTGAAGCCCTTGGTGCCCGAGGAGACCTCGTGTTTGCACTATTCGCGTGGCGCCATGGCCGGCCCTCGTTCGGCCCTCTCTCCGCCGTCCGCTTCGCGCAGCGGCCATTCGTCCAACAATTCTCACCTCCATCACACCCGCCACTTTCACGCTGGCAAGGGAGATGATGTGTCCTCGGTTGGGGAGGCCTCCGGATGCATCTGCACCTGGCGCTTGACTTTTCCGCAACCCGCCGCTCAGTACCTGGCCTTTCGACAACGCCTGGACACACACTTTGTATCACTCGAGAACATCACGATCACCGAGGAGTTCGACTCTTCCTCCGACGAGGCAAGGACGACTTGTGACTCGCCACACTCGCTTTCGTCCGCTCTGGCCGCTAAGTACTCCAGCTCTGTCAATCATTCTCCACACCAGCGTCCCGAGCATGAT